CGGGACGGCGGCGACGTCGAGGGGAGGCGGGGGGCCGGCCGGATTTGGGGCGGGCGACGGCCGGCGGCGTGGGAGGGAGGAAGCGGGAGGTTGGGGAGGGGAAACTTCCCTCCCGCGCGACGAGGGAAGGGAGTGCGGGCTGGGGTCGAGCGCCCCCCTCCAACCCTCACTTCTACGGTTTGAAATTGGGTTTGAGACCCTTACTTTTTTTTGATGGTTTGAGAGTTTAGGTGTTCTAGTCTTTGCAATTTTTTATTGTAATCCGTGAAAAACGGTTATTTTTGAGGATTTAAGGGTTTAGGGGTACTACTAGTAATGCTCTAATCTCTTGGCCGAGGGCATCGCGTGCATTGTTGTCTCAGCCTCGCAGTCGCATGGGAGTTGGCGAGGTCGAAGAAGCCAAGTCGACTGCCGGGAACCTGCTTCGCCTATTCTTTGACACGTGGCGCAGTGGAGTGTCTCCACCGTACTACTCCTACTAGGCTGGCGAGTCCGATAGCTTGTCAAGTTGTGATTGCCTTTTGCTGCTGGAGTAGGAAAAACAGAAAACAAGTAGCAGGTCATAGACAAAATAGGCCGTCGCCGGCGCCCCGCCTCCGCCGTCTCCCCTACCCATGCCACCGCCAGGCCTTGTTCGTAGCGCAAGCAGCAAGAGACGACGCGGAGAAGACACCGTCGCGGATCCGATGTAAACGCTGCGGGAGCACCAAGGCACGGACCTGATCTGGCAAGAGAAAATGGATCGGCGGCAGCGGCATCCGCCTACCAGTACCAGCGATGGTGCTCCTCTACACCCAAGCCTCCTCCTCAACCTCCAGGTCGACACGGCCTCGGACGGCGACGGCAACGACACCACCGCCTCCTGCAGGACCAGCGGCGGCGCGCACGACGTCCAGGTCACCCTGTTCGCCGCCAACCCGCCCGGGGTCTCTCGCCTCCAGGTCGTCCGCTCCGCCGGCGCCTCCGCTCCCTACATCGTCACCACGGAGGCCGACCTCGTCCTCCTCGGCGTCCCTGCCAGCGCCGATTCGGCGCGCACCAGGTCCGGGTATGATTATTTCGTATACAAATTGGGGGCAGGTGAGAAGGGGGCGTCATCGCTGGAGCTGCTGCCGGGCCCTGTCCCCTCCTCCCTCTCGCTCGACGACTCGCACGTCGGCATCCTGCGCCGCCGCGACTCCTACTTGATCGTGGCGCTCTGCTACACATCCTCACCTGGCAAGTACGACCTGCATCTCTACGACTCCAAGAGCGGAGGATGGACCACAAAGCAGGCCTCGCTCGACCAGCAACAGCATATGGATCACTGCCATGTCAACCGCAAGGTCATCACCGTCGGGGGCGACGCTGGCACCATGGCCTGGGTTGACCTCTGGCACGGTATCCTCTTCTGCGACGTCCTCCATGAGGAACCACGGCTTCAACACATCCCGTTGCCACCGCCACTACTGCCAACAAGGGAGCTGGGAGGCTGCCCCAGGAACGCTCGCGACATCGCGGTCATTAATGGTCGCATCTACTACGTCGAGCTGCAGATCAGAACCATGCCAGGTTCGTCCAGCAGGGGCAGCTACATCTCTGATGGCTGGACCGTTGCCATATGGAGCACCAGTGCTACTGGTCCTTGGCATGGGGACTGTTGGCACCAGGACTACAAACTCGACGCCTCTGAGATCACTGTCGGAGAAAAACTGGTGCACTTTGAAGGCGTAGCCGAGCCAACCTTGGTGAGGCTCCAAACAGGCCATCCCACACTCTGCCTGCACGACAGTCGAGTTGTTTACCTCATGGCAAAAGTTGACTACCAGGACGAAAAGGCATGGGTGCTTGCAGTTGACATGAGGAACAAGACGCTGCAAGCAGTTGCCAAGTTCACCGCCGATAGAGTCCCAGGCTTCTGCTTTACATATACACACACCAGGGTCTCTGAATATCTGAAGATGCAGGTAACTACTGTACCAGACCATGCCGTGTTTGCATTTTCTATTTTGCAAATTCGTATATTGCTGCAGATAACTTAGGACTTGTTCGGTTGCGTGTGGATTCAAGTGGATTGAAGGGGTTTGAGGGGGATTTAAACCTCTTATAAGTCAAAATACTAACCAATCCTTGCCAATCCCCTCCAATCCTCTTGAGGAGAGGATTAACCCAACAAGCAGTTAGGGGGTGCATTATGTGTCACTATCTTCACATATCCGGGCGATTTGTGGTAACTTCTGTTCGTACACAAATGACTGATGGCATGATGCATTGGTTAATTTGAGTGAATATGAAAATGAAAGAAGAAACATTAGCTTAAGCAGTAGCCGGAAAACAGCTTGTTTTAGAAAAGAGAGTACCGGAGTGGTCCTTATATAACTTTCAAATGCTTTGTATTGGAATACTATTAGTACCGACGAATGGCCGGTATCCAAACACCTCGTTCTGTTTGGCATGTTGCTAATCCTTTTGGAAACCCTGCAAGCCTCCAAACACTTTCTACCTAAATAGGCTAGGGGCATGTCTCTATAGGGGTCATGCAAATGATACAAGGAGGGCAGCATCAAGATAATGTTTATCGGTTGTTTATAGGTTAGCAGGTTGAATTTCTTGTAAGGCTCTACTAAAGAGGAACCTTGTGCTTACCATTGAGATGCAAACCATAAGCAAAGGTTTCTGTTCTCCTCAACTCTTCTCAAACAGGCTGCAAGATAAATTAGTTTAACAAGTATGGGCTAATTCAATTGGGGTTGTCATGATATGAGGGTTTTTTCTCCACTCGGCAAAACTGACTGGGTAAGACTTGTAAGTTAAAAAACAAAAAGATTAGGTAGGACTTTGTAAGTTAAAAAACAAAAAGATTAGGTGTGACTTTTTAAGCTCCTAAGCATATTATATGTGTAGCAGTTGGAGCCTTTATATAGACAAAGAAATCAGTACCTGACTACCTGTAAATAAAAACACACACTTTTGACCTGACTACCTGTAATAAAAGCAACAGATAACTTGGGTGCTATTGCATATTAGCATTAGAATTTATTGATAGTTTATCCGTGTAATAAAAAGATGGGAAGGGCAAGGGGTTTGGGGCTGGTATTTAATTATTTCTTAGTGAGCCATCTTATTTGTACTAAAATCTGAGCTATTTTGCTGGGTGCAGATATAAAGTGTAAACTGAAATGATGAAGGATGCTGGTATCCAAGAAAGTGCCTGGAACGTTTAGGGTGATGCAAATGCAACCATAGCATGGAATGTGAAAGGAGGGTAGTGCTTGTCCTTTCCAAAGACTCACTCACTAGTATGGTCTTTGAAATGAACAGAACAGAACAGAAAAAAACGACAACGTGCTTGTATGAACTTTCAGAAGAAAAGGACACCAACACTAGTATGGTATCTTGTGTAGCAAGGGAGCTGGTGATGAAATTATATGTTTGTTTGTTCAATAGCCAGGTTGGACCACCATATTTGAACTTCACTAATATGGCCGCTTGTAAATTGTAATCGCTCACTTATTATATTCATTTATGCTGCTGTATATAAGGTGATTTGTAAATGGGCCAAACAGCTGCATGTGCAAGGGTCCGTGCAATCAGAGCAAGGTTTAGTGGCTTGTGTTAAATGCATTTCTCTACTCCCTCCGTTCTACAATATAAGACATTTTCGCAAGCTAAAACAGTTTGCAAGAACATCTTATATCGGAGGAGTAGTCAAGTTACATGTATACCCGTACGTGCACAACCGTCCCTCAGTAGGGGTCCAAACACAGCCGGAAGCCTTATATCGGATATCACATGAGGGTTTTACCCAAATTCGGGCCTCGGAAAAGTAATACCCTACATCCTGCTTGTTTTGATTATTCATGGTGTAGGGGTACCTCGTGCTAGGGTTAGAATAGATGGGAATGAAGGTTCCCTGGCCTCCCCTTGTATAGGCGGCACAGACCTAGGGTTTACAGAGAGACATATGCAATCTCCTCCGCAACCACCCTTGTCTTGGTGGATAAGAAGGTCTCCAATGTCCTCCTTTGTGTTTCATCCTTGTGGGCCCTTGCCTTGGGCCTCCTTAAGGCCGGGGCCCCTTGGCTGAGGCACCCCGATGTATGGAACCATCACCGGGTGCGTGGATCTGACAAAGTCGTTCATGGGAGCTCTGCTTCGGGAGACCGTCCGCGTTGGGAGGGTGAGGCTTGCGCGCAGGGGAGGCGTTTGCGCCCAAGGGCGCGCAACTATTGCTCTGCATCTTCTCCAGAGTTGGTACGGGGTGGCCAATAGGTGATCGTGTGTCCGTGCGGGGAGGTGCATCGTGCGCGCACCGGGCGCGGCGTGGGTGTCGTGGGTCTCCGGGGCAGCACGAAGCTCGAATCTGGAGCTGGTGTGGTGGAGCTCGGGTGGGTCAGAGGCCCGGAGTGGCGCTGAGAGGTGGCTCCGTTGTGAGGTGTTAGCTTTTGCCGTCACCAGCAGGCACCTGGACTACGGTCAAGGACCACGGTGTTCCATGGCCTCAGACGGTGCTCCTCCATGCCTTGCCGGCATGGTGCTTGCTATGGCGTGGTGGTTGGTGCTATGTCTGGTGGTCCTTCTTTAGCTAGTCCTCGACGGATTTGCTGACCTACGTGGTAGGAGGGTCGGCAGCTGCCTCCACGAGTTGCGGCTGGCTGTGTTGGTTCTGATGTGGCATGTTCGATGGTGGTGGTGGTGGTGTGGGCCCTGTTTGGAGGTTGACCGCAAGTGGGTTACGCAAGGTGCGGTTGGCTGGAGCGGTCTCGGTGCCTCTTTGTCGGTGGGCAGCTTCGTTGGTGGAGGTGGTTGATGGGCTTGCCAACACTGGTGCGGGATGATGTGCTGCTGAGGTGGTGCGGGAGCTTGGATGAAGTCCCTATCTCGACTTTGTGTCGTGACCAGCGATGCCGATGGCTATGGCCATCGTTGACCTCCCTGGAGGCATCGCTGATTTGTTGCCGCACTCCTTGTGCATAGATCCAACCATCGCGGCCAACCTTTAATCTTGTGATCGGACGATGGCGGAGCTGTGGTGTGTCGTTTTCCCTCTTGGGGACTTCGTTCCGGAGCTCGGCATCGGCAAGTGGGACCGGTGTTTTGCGGCAGTTGTGGCATCTAGACTTCTATGGTAACAATGATGATGGGAGCGAAGTCGGAGAAATGGCAATGGTTGCGGTAGTCGGTTCTTCTCCGGCATGTACACGGTATCACGTCGGTTTGTTTGTTGCTATGGAATCGGTGCTGCGGTGGTAGGGGCCTGTGGTGTACGATGACTGGCTGCAGGTGGCCTGTTAGGTGTTCTTCCATGGCGCTAGCCATGCATGGATTTTGGTGCAGATCTCCATGCAGCTTCACGCATGCTCTATGTTGTAGGGGTAGTCGACGATCGCTGATGGTTAAGTAGGAGTCGTTTGCTCAGAGTTAGGGATGGCGACGACGTCTCTAGGGGAGGAGTGATGCTGATGACACTTGCGTGCTATCTTGATGAGACCCTCTTTGATGTGGTGTGCGTGGGTTTTTTATATGTGCTGCTCAACAGTTGTGATGGTTTTTGTCCAATTCTCTTCTTTGGTAAGAGCGTAGCTGGCATGACCCTGATGTATGTCATTTTTTCCGAACCATTTAGATTTTGTTTCCTATTTATAGATTCCAACCCAATACCTCCAGGTTATTTCCTAACACAGTAAACAACTCAGATACATAACTTGCTGTGCAGACTTCCACTTCTTTTCTTCTTGTTGTCTACATTTCCGGTTCAGATCTGCATGGTTTTTCTGTGCTACTTTTCTTTTGGCTTTTTTATGAATGTTTCCGCTCGGGTTTTTCTCCTTCTTTTTCCATTACCTTTTTTATTTATTTTCCCTTTTTATTTTAACTTTTATTTGTAAACTTCTTAAAAATTCTTGAAACATTTTTCCAAATACGCAAACATTTTCCAAACATATATTTTTTAAATAATCATGAACCTTTAAAAGTTTTAGCCTGTTAGCAATTTTCAAATTCATGAACCTTTTCCAAATTCATATTATTTTTGAAATTTTAACTTGTCACCATTTTTACATTCACAATTTATTTTCAAACTTATGAACTTCCTTTAAATTTATGAACTTTTCTAAAAAATGAACTTCTTAAAATTTAACTCAAGGATTTTTTTTCAAATTCTTGAACTTTATTACAAATTTCTTAATTTTTAAAATTCATTAACTTTTTCAAAGCTAACGGGCAAGCGAGCGAGCATGCGAAGCTGGTGACCGGGCGAGCGAGCTTGCGCACTATTAGGCTACGGGCCGCTGGCATGCGCACCAGCGCCAGTTTCCTAACTTGCGCTTAGAGTTCTGACTAGCAGCTCCTCAAATAGATGATGCCATGCACACGGATTCTTTCAAAATTTAAAAAAATGATTTTTTTTAGAAAATCAAACCCTAAAAACATTACAGAATTTTTTTAAAAAAGTTTGTGTCTTCCAAAATTCTGTATAATCTAAAACATGATTTTTTTTTTCTAAAAAGAGCGAACACAATTTTGAACATGAACAATTTTTAAAATTTCGGACATTTCTTTTCAAGAAAATAGAAATTGGGAATTTCAAAAAAATCAGAAGCATATGAAAAAACTGAAATGATTTTTTTTGTTAATTTCCCTGAACATTTTTTATTTGGGTGAATTTGTTTATTTAAAATAGGAACATTTTTTGAAAGTGCGAACATTATTTGAAACTGAACAAACAGAAATTGAATTTCTGAAAAGTTTGGGAAAAGGGAAAAATTAATTTGTGTTTTTTTTGAAAAGGGGCCTTTTTTCAAATTGTGAACAAGTTTTGAAATAAGGGACAATTCTTATGGTTGAATTCTTTCAAATCCGTGAGCGCTTGGCCCGGCCTAACAGGCGCCCAACCAGAGCGATGCCGTCTCCTAGTTGGGCCAAGCCTGAAGCATTTTTCATTCTTTGTTTTCGTTTTCCCTCTCTTTTTTGTTAATTAATTTTCCTCATTTTAAAAATTATTTTTCTTTTTGAAACTTATTCATAAAATCAAAATGTTTTTTGGAATAAAAAAATTAAAGTTTTAACTAACTAACTTGCTTGGTGATTTTAATTTTTTTCCTTCAAATATTTAGTAAATTCTTTTAGAAAGTCATTTAATGGTTTCAATTTTATCAATTTGGATTTATTAGTTATACTAAAATTTTAACATAACAATTTTAAGTACCTGTTTAAATTCTGAATTTAAATAGTTTTTTTCTTCATAGTTGACATGGATGTCTACCATGGGCATATCCACCTACTCACCAAAGTTGAGGTCATTTCAAGAACGTCCAAAAAAACTCCATGTTATACGTAGGATTTCCAGGTGAAAACCTTAAAATTATTTCCACATAATGGCATCACCATGGCAAGCATTCCTGCCAGGTTTCGCTGATATCCGATATTTTATATAATTTTAGAGTTTCCCCGTGAAAAAGCCCTAAAATACTGGCCGGTCGTGACGCAACGTGCATCCGGTGTCCGAATTCGTTCTAATTTTGCGTGGGGGACTACAATGGACATACCCACATGGTGGCACAATTTTGTGTTATTTCATGTATGGACAGAAATAGACCATGTACAACCTGAAGCGTGCGGGTAAGCCGGTAGGGCAAGTTTCCAAACACTTTTTTTCGGCTCCACAAAACGGATGGCAATTTTTTCACGCAATGGCATCACCGCGGCAAGCATCCCTGCCAAGTTTCGTTGATATCTAACATTTTATGCAATTTCTAGGGTTTTCCCGATGAAAAAACCCTAAAGTACTGGCCGGTCATGACGCAATGTGCGTTCGGTGTCCGTATTCGTTCAAATTTTGCATGGGGGACTATCATGAGCATGCCCACCTGCTAGAAAAATTTCGTGTCATTTCATCCATGGCAAGGAATACACCATGTACATCCTGGAGCATTCGGGTAGGCCGGGTCGGGCAAGTCTCAAAGCACATTTTTTTACATCCACCAAATAGACCCAAATTATTTCCAAATGATGGCATCACCATGCAAAGCATCCCCTGCCAAGTTTCATTGATATCTGACATTTTATACAATTTTTAGGGTTTCCTCAGTGAAAACCCGTAAATACTAGCCAACCGTGACGCAACGGTGTTTGGTGTACGAATTCATTCAAATTTTGCATGGGGGA